ACAAGACAAGACGCAATACTCCCACTGTCTAGGCACTTTTCATACCGGTCCTTAACTGTTATCATGACCCCAGAGTCCATGCATCCATTGAGGGTAACAGTTAAGGGGTTAACATATTCTCCCACCTGAACTTGAGAGGGTTATCATGTGCATCTAAGTTGCTTCTTTGTTTAATGCTCATTTGAGGTAGGCAACCACATTTTGGTACTCCATTGTGCTGTTGTTTCCTCTTTCCATTTCCAGATAATAGTGTTTTATAAGACATTCAAAGCTCTGGATATTGTTTTACAACGAAACTGCTTTCAACTTTTCCACAGCTTTCTCTCTGACCTGCTTGCTGCATTTCTCTGCTATTTGGTCCTGCTTGTTCTCAAATATTCTCCAACAAACCTGTGGGGCCTTCACAGAACTGGATTTACAGATTCAATTACACACACCTGGACTCTACAGACAGAACTTTTCAGTTTACAAATATGCACTACTTTGAAAAATCTCATATAGTCCTAGTATAATATATTAAAATTCAAATGGTGTGATTATGTTTGCAGTGCACTGTACAAGTGAGGACTAAATTTTTTGATATACTGAACAGATCCTAAATGCAGCCAACAGAAGATACTAGAGAAGAACAACAACAAAGATGTTTTCAACTATCATATTGCGTTTTTTAGGCCAAAGTAAATTCCAGGTTCACTGAATCTTCCAGGAATCTGTGTTCAGTAACAGTGCTCACTGGGAAGAAGATATGTGACCTCCTTTCTGTGCCCTTCAACAATCTCTCCTGAGGCTCCCACAGCAGCAGGGTTGATGAATGTTTACAATTTCAGGCGCTGAGAAAGAGGACAGGTAAAGTGCAATAAAAATCATACAAAATGAGGCATTTGTCCTTCACCATGCACACAGAAGTAGTCATGAAAGTGGCCCATCCTGCTCTAAACACAGTTGCATAATGTCAATCTCTTTAATCTCAATCTGCCTTAGTGGACTTTCTGCAAGTGTTAGGAGCCATGGTGATTGTTGTAGATCGCAAACAGGGAACACGGATTATCAGTGACAAAAGTACAAAATATGCGATTGGCTGACAGCTTCTGTTGTCATGGTTTTCACCCCCAGATGGCTGTGCTGGCCGTGCCAATGGCAGCAGGATCAGCGCTGGTGGCATACAGAGCACAGTACGCAAAGTACCCAGGGGACATCGCTACATCACCTGTTCTCTCAGAGGAGGAGATAGAGGAAGCAATAGAGCTGGTCAATCAACTGGAGGCAAGTCAGAGTCATCATATGTGCATCAAACAAGACTAAAACCACATCAACAACAACAATCTAGCATTCCTGGCTTGTCTTCAGCATCAGAAATTAGGGGCAGGGTAATAAAGCATGGAGTAGCATGTACAGTATAAGGTCCAGAATGACAGCCCCATCTGTCAGCCAGCCTTGTCTGGAGTATTCGCTCATAAATCTACTGAACTAGCTCTCATTTTACAACAAGAGCCAAGCCTTTACTTGCATTACTATGATGCAGCCTAGACACTGGCAACCTGTCTAGCCAATTTCCACAAAGTTACCAAATACTTTTTTAGGGGACTTTGAAACTTTACAGGTACCGACTAGCCAAAAAAAATAAAAAATTCAGCTAATACAGCAATAGGAAAGGAACATACAGTAACAAAGGAACATACCTGATAAACAAATCCCTTATTGAGATCCACTGAGATCATGGTGTTCGTGAAAGGTTGCCCGCTAACTCCCCTTCAGTGTGCTTGCAGCAGTGATAGAAAATGAAAAGCGAAGGCTCAAGGCCTGACTCTGAGCTCAGGATGTTTATGTGAGTTGGACAGAAAGTGAGAGGAAACGTCAGAGAAGGATAGAGTCAGCTCATCTGTCGGCTCGTCTCGGTCAGAACCTCTCCTTCCCCCTGCCGCTCTCATCAGTCACTCTTCCCATGCTGGAACGCGGAAGCAGCCTCGCTTCCAAAGGCTCCACAACATCAGCATTCGAAAAGAAAAGTAGCACAGCTCCGGCTCCAGTCTCCGTCTCTGTCTCTCGCTCTGCCTCCCAAGGCTTTCATCCAGGGCAGCATCAAATGCTTCTGACAAGCGTCCATCCGCCAATCCCCCCAGAGAGATTAGCGCTCTGACATCACCGATGCTGCGTTGTGCACCGTTCTGCTCTGCAGACTCCCTGAGCAATAGGGCTGTGTAGCATTACCCAAGAGAAGAGTCTCAGGTCACAGGGAGCCAAAAATGCCATCCTGCAAGGGAGGAGGTTCGCACAAGTCCTGCTGCACTTTACGAGTCACGGCGCATCTTGAACACGGCAGGCGGGGAGAGGAGCATGCTGTAGTCGCTGCAGTCCCACTGATCACTGCATGTGCACATTTCAATGCTTGTGTATGTATGTGTGTCGGCTGAGCCGACCTCAGGTAAAGAAGCTGCTGTCTGGCTAAACTGCATCGTCAGCAGAACAGAGAGGGAGAAGAAGAAAATTCTTCTGCTATGCTGCAACCATTCAACATCAAAATTTCTATCTTTACAGGGTACAGTATCTCACTGTACTTATAAAGACAGAATTCAAAATTCCCCATTTCAAAAGCTATTAAAAACACTATACAGTCCAATGCTCTTCATTTAACTGTTTAACTCTCACCTTGCAGCTCCTCTGCCTTCCTTGTCCGCCTGCCAGTTTTTCACAGCCAAATCACCAAGTTGGAAAAGTTTTCTCTGATCTGAGAAGAACACAGCATTCCGAAGAATAACCCAGACAACGTAAGTGAACGTCCTCTGACTGTCCCCGCTGATTCTCTACAGCGAAGATGTACTCTGCTCTACCGGGACAGAGGATCCTGGTCAAAGTCATCCAAGCGCTGCATCCAAGAGATCAAAATCTATTACTTTAGGTTCCCACATATTTAGATCTTCTGCCCGTATGTACACCGAGTCGCGTGGATGTTGCATGAATTGTTGGGTTTTTAAAGTGGATTTTAATCGACTGCTTAGATTTCCTTCTCATGACAAATTCCTTTATCTACCATCCTTTACATCACTTGGGTAATTGATGACCCAAAACATATCTACAATTTAACTCTGTTCAGGCGCAGTTGAGACCAGATATTTACTTACACTGTAAAAAAAACGTGACGCTATTTGTCTCACAGACTGACATAAAATCAGGCAAAACCTTATCCAATTTAGGTCAGGTAGGCTGAACAGAATTAGTTTCTTCTTGCTAATTTTCCAAATATTGACAGATTTCATATCCCATTTTATATATTCACGAGTTTATAAGGACTGTGATTACTTATAATCGCAGTCCAGTTCAATTAAGTAGTTCAGTTCAATTATTTAAAGCTGAATTCAATTGTGTTCAGTTCAATTAATTATCTTAGGTTCATGCAGTTCAATTTCAGTCAATTAAGCTCATTGTAATTCAATTATGTTTAGTTGAAGTAAATTGAATACTATTTTGGTTCAGTGTGAATAAATAAGTTTCTTTTTACAAAGTTAGTTCATTTAAGCAGAAGTCTGTTCAAATAAAATAATGTAAAAATGTTCTACACAAAGAAAAGAACATCTGCTTCAAAAAGAACATTTACTCACTAAAAACTCAACCAGTGGACATTACTCAGTTTCTATAACGTGTCATTTCTGAAAAATAAAACAAATGAAAGTTTTTTCTGAAGCGCCCATATTTTCTGCTCTGCTGAACCCTTGACCTCATCTAAGTGGCGGATTCAACATGTTTCCGATGTCTGCCACTTTGTGCTTAGTCCTGTCCTCGGTGTGGCGGTGAGCCATCAGTTGCATAAGCAATATTTCATCAGAGTGGTTGTCATATAACGCAAACGTAGCTGTCCTCCAGAACTGGCTCTGAGGCCTGCTTCGACTCTCACCCGGGGAGCTCCTCCAAGTGTTTAATGCGTTGAAAGCTCCAACTCCACTTAATTCCTGTTATTGATTGAAGGCAGCCTGCTGAGGATTCCAGATGCATTGTGGCATGTGTCACAACTCAGATCCAATAATACAGGACATCTGCTAAGCAGGCTGGCTAATCAGTTAGCCAACTGCAGCTGTACAAAACACAAGTAAAATAGAAATATAATACTTGTGGCGTTGTTCTTAACAACAAAGGAGAAAGCCTGGCAACATTGAATACTATTGCAATATTACCAGAAAATAACTACAGTTAATTCACCTCTGGAGTTATCCAAATTGAACAAATTCCCAACATGATGCTCCTTAAACTGGAAAAGTGAACTTCAAAAGTAGGAATGAACAGAGGTGAAAAATAAGAATTTCAATCCACCCTTCTGGAGCGAAAAACTGTTCACAAGACAAAGACATTTGGGACAGGAGGATCTGTTCTTCCCAAGAGTGAATTGCTTATAGAAACGACAAAAGACTAAAGAAATCCATAACAGATTTGACAAGGCTCAATTGGAGGCTTGTCCACAGTCAGAAGAAAGAGTGAAGCAATATGGCTTCTTTGAAGCGTTGAGAAAGAACATGGCAACATCTAAACGAAACAAAACCCTTCTGGAACAACATATTTTTTGATCACACCTATATTGTTAACACTGAATTATTTGTCTATAATTCAATGTTACCCTGTTGAAACTAAACACCCTGCAGACATCAAACCACCTGTCCAGTACTGGCAGGGTGATGGTTTGGGCCTGTGTTGCAGTCAAAGGACACACGCTGAAGTTGGGTCATGAATACACCAACAAATCTATAACAGAACTGACGGCCTAGTCAAAGTACAGACCTCAACCAGATTGAAAAGCAATGGTGGACCAACCAAAGAGCCATGCAACCTCAAAGTCAAAGATGGCAAAAAAAAAAAAAAACTAAACATCCAACACATTGACATAAAAGATTGATGCACTCACAGAGAAACTACCATTATCATCATGTTATTACACTATTATATAAATACTGAAAAATAAAGTGTTATTAAAATAAGCCTGTCTTACTTAAGAAATACTGAAGGAATCTACTCACCACATCTTTACTTTCTTGAGAACTTTGTTCCTGAAAGTCAAAGAACAACGAGACAAGTTAAAATCTATTTACTCTGTCAACCAAATATTGAACATAAAAATGGACTTAAGTATCCAAACACTCTAAAATAATCACATGTTGCTCATAAAACCACAAACCTCAATGCATTTCAGTAAGATTTTACGTGACAGTGTAAAATGTATTAATACTTGAACCTGTACTGTGAATTTAAGAAAATCAAAAGCAATCTGTCGAGAAATTAATCAGTCGTACTTCCATGTTTGACCTTGGGAACCCAGAAACACGGTGAAGCGAGTTGGTATGTAGATCCCCTGAGATGCTCACCAAACTAATACCTCACATGATCATACACATCAGAGTGAAACTATGGCAACACTTGCAGCACGCAGGGTGGGAGCGGGTGGTGAAGGGGCCGGGGGGAGATAGCAATGACTTGCAATGACAAGGAAGCAGCCACGCTGCAGCGAGTGCAAAGGGGGGGAAAGCTGCATTACAGGCTTCACCTTATGCTAGAAAACCACGTCCTCACATAACACCACCCCAAATAGAGCAGTCAGACTATTGATTGGCCTCCAGAGCAATCAGTGCTTTTTATTACTGGTCCGCACAAAACAATGGATGCCATCTTCCTGCTCTCGCACTGACACTCCATGCAATAGAGTGGCCATCGTTTTTTTATTTTTATTTTAAATGGCAAAATCTCAATTGAATGCAGCAGTGCTTTGGAAAAGCACATTTTGACACAGGCGTTATTGTGTTTTATTGGGAAGAGCACATGTAAGAAGAGGAAGGAAACGAAACAGCGAGCAAGGAGAACATTAATCAGAGAAGCAGTCAGAAAGCTTACGGTAACTCGGGAAGAGCTGCAAGACACATGGCTCAGGTGGGAGAGTCTGATTGGAGCACAGCTACATGTCTTGCACTTCTCTAATTTCGCAGTTGGCAAGAAAAAAAAGGCTTTGCGATAGAAAAAAAAGAGAAATGTTTAGCGTGGAAAAAGCTTCACCAAATGTGGGGGAGCTGTTATTCAGCATAGACAAGGAAGCCGGACGACAATTCATATGAAGCGCTTCTGGAATTAGCGGTCCTTCACCATCCGACAGGAAAACCCTGAACATACAGACAGGGCTACTGTGGATAATTATTTTTTTAAATCTAAATTTTAAATTTATAACAAGACTGATCTTCACAGACATCATCTACCAACAGTCTGAGTTACTTTGAAACCATTTCAAGACTGGAAGTAGCTAAAGCTGACTTTGTAAAGTATTAAAGTTGTTGAGCTAGACTTGTTTTAGAGGCATCTTGGTAAAGGGGGTAAAAACATGCACAACACTTTTCAGGATCATTTTTATACAAGCTTAGAAACCTGAGCATCTTTTTCATTCCACCTCAGAATGAAGCACTGCTTTGTGTTGCTTTATTACATGCAATTCCCACAAAAACATAAAACTTTGTGGATGTAATGTGACAAAACGTGAGTATTAATGCTATTTGAAGACGCTCTACATGTTTCACGCTGCTGGTTGGATTAAGGTTCATGTTTCAAACCAGTACTCTAAACTCCAGCAGCAGATCTAAAACGATAAACTACGTCCTTGTACTTGTACAGACTCATGTAGATGATCCACATAATAAATGTCTTTGTCATCTTTCCCTAAGATTAAAAGGAAGCTGGTTACAGTGCATCACACCATCACACCGCCCTGCTGGGATCAAACACTTACAGATCCAAGAAAATCTTGATCACAGCTTTGACAGCAGATTCCACTGTCTGCGGTGGATGAAGCCATGTTAACCATATTATCCACGCTATAAACGACATGTATAGGTGAGATGCAGGGAAGCCCGTTCGCAAAGCAGAACTGTTGCTGCTGCGTGTCCCACCTGTGCGCCACTTCTGTAATTGAGGGCATCTGGGTTTTGCTGCGTGGACGCACAGCTGAAATGTGGCACATTTAAGACTGCATTCCTTCTCCGCGTGATCGTGAGCATTTATGTCTGTCACGACTGCAAGGTGAAACGCTCAAAAATGAATCGTTCGCCTGATTTTTTTTTTTTTTTCATATATGTACATATGTATTCCAAAGAGGAAATAAACTACGCGCACATGTGCAGCTGAACATCCAGATCGGTGTGAGCTTACCGTGGGTAAGAGCGGCTCCATTTGGGCTCCTTGGTCGGTGATGTCCATCTTTTCCCTCTCCTCTTCCTCGGCCTCGGATTATAACCAGGTGGTGACGCTGCGCTCCTCCTCGGCAGACCACTGCTGTGGAAAACCTCACTTGATGCTGGCGTGTTTTTTCCTTCTTCTTCTTCAGGTTTTCTCCTTCTCCCCTCCCCTACTGAGCATTCACCGGCCGGGTTTTCTCAGATAAAGGTAGCAAAGTGTTCCCTTCCTGGCCCCGCATCGTTTACGCACAAAGGAGGGGAGGCTGCGCTTTCCATTTGGAGCGCACACTTTACATGCGGGGGGTTTCTTCTGCCAGTGGGGGGGCTTATACCTCCATGTTTCCAGTCGTGCACGTGAGCCACTGGAAACGCGTTTTGGTTTCTAATTCAGCTTTTCACTACAAGGTTTGAAACACAGTGGCTCATGAGCAATAAGACAGAAATGGAGCAGAAAGAATAACGGCCATGTTGGACCGCTTTCACTTTTGCATGACAGGGGAAACCCGCCAATCATCTTGGCTTATTTTCCTAAAAGTCGTTTTCGGCTCTTCGTGTTGGTTTGTCTTATTGTTCCCGTCAACGTGCAGGGCGATCTGCACTCTTCTGTCAATCGCATCTCTGCTTCTTGTTGCGGCACGCAGCGTTCCGCCTGCAACTCGCATCCAAATCACCCCCGGATGCTGCTGGGTTCAAGTTGGCACAATGGCGCCCTCTTCTGGTCACTTGTCAACAGAACCAGAATGTTTTGGATAACTACAGATAAGCAGACCCTTTTTCTGAAGTTTGGCATGTTGAAAAAGCCCAGTCTTGTTGGGTTGCTGTGGAAGATGGTCAGATTCTGCTTGGGGAGGACAACGAGGACAAAACAAAACTTCTGGCCAAGGTAGAGACACAAAAGGGGCAGGGAGGCAATAGACAAGACTGTTGGAGGGCAGGAAAGAAAGAAGACCTGAGGAATGAAGGAACAGGAGACACAGGGGGAAGTGATTGGTGAAACAAGGACCAGATTAATGTAAAGAAATGGCAGAACATAGCTGGTGGAGTGAAGACGAATTATCAAATGAACATCAAAATTATTATATAGGAATCTGGGGGAAATAAACAGAACACTAGAAAGCAACAAAAAATTTAAACACACGGTAATACTGAAAGAACAGAACAAAATTCCTAGAATATTTAAACTGGAGGAGAATATACATATAGACTACCAAAAAAAAAGATCACAATACAAATTTCTAAGCCAAACGGACCAAAAACGCACAGAGCATAACAGGCCATCCTCCTCTGCACCAGTACCAAGTCTTTAATCATTTTTGTTTTCCAGGACTGCTCTGGATTTGTCTCCAGCAACCTTCAGAATCAGCTTTATTCGCCAAGATCACACACAAATAACAGAGACTGACCTTGTGGCATCTGATTTCTGCAAATAGTGCTCCATAGTGCCATGCTGAAGGTAAAGGTTTGTGTCCAGTATGTGTGGGGTTTGCAGAGATGTTAGCTGCCTTGACGAGGATCCTCTCTGTCTATCAGGGTGACAGGTGGGTACTCTTTTAACCCTGTGATGGTGTGCAGTTAGTCCTTTTGTGTGGCTGAGTGTGTTGGAGGAGAGAATGTCTGTTCTGCAAACCTGCAGAAGAAGCTGCTGTGGTCATCAGCCGGCTGCTGATGTCATCACAGGTTGAGGGTGATGGGTTGTTAGGCGGTGATGTCATTCAGGTTCCCAATCTTCTCAGAAACTCTGACCAGTTACCTCGTTTCTGCTGACAAAAAAACATTTCCAGATCATAATGTTTCAAGTACCATGTTACATAACAAAAAAGGACAAACTCAAAAAACGTCTTAGCTTATTTGTTGGAGAATATACAACAGGAGACTTCTTCCAGATGTTCTACTGAACGAGAGGGACACACATTCTGAAGCTGCACCTCCAGTTCAGCAACTGCCTGTCCAACTCAGTCGAGGATAGTCCCAAAGGTGTCTGCAAAAGGAGGACATGGCTGCCCTGCCTAAGTGACCGGATCCAGAACGCTGGGGAAAGAGTGTCATCTGGAAATCTGGTTTTTGGACCACCTTCAGATGGTCCAAAACCCATTTAGAGGTGAAGAAGGTTGTCTCCCACGCAATACTGCCTTAATTACATTGCTCGACTTACTACATGAAAAATTTCATTTGGGTTTAGTTCAAATGGAGTCGGAATAATAATCCATCCATGACGAATTGTTTGTGTCATTTATTATGGAGTCATTTATTTGATCACATTTGCAACTTTTTTTTATGTGACCAAGTTGCTGGAGGTTTCCTGAAAAGCAATGGCAATCTCAGTCTGCGGCTGGCATCAGCACCAAGGCTGCTGAGATGTCAGGATGTTGCTGCTGATGATCCGGATCCGCCCAGCTCGGCGTCACGGCACCGACAAGATGGCCGAGATTACGGGTCGAAAGTGAGGGAGGAAACAAAAACATCTGTGCGCTGCCCCCCCTGTTGAAGACGCCAGGTTTTAAGCGGTGCTGAGGACCGTTCGGGGCGGAGATCCAGGCTGAGTGCACCCCGGACTCCGGCTCTTGGTCTTGCCGGATGCAGACACGGTGCGCTCCGCGGCGGCGCGCGCTAGGACCGTTTATTGGGTCTTCTGGGAGCTAACCTGCTAACCATGTTTGCTATCGGACAGCATCATTACTGAGACGTTGTGCAATTACAAAGTGACACTTGGGCTCGTTCCGATATAAACATCGGTTGCTTCTAAATAAGTTATTGGACAGAAGGTTAGTTCCAGCAGCTCAACTTTCTAAAGAGACAAATTGGATTTAGCGCTTAGCTAGCAGGTTAGCATGCTAACATTGCGGATTTCTTGCTTGCAGCTTCGCAGCTAGCATCTGCGTTAGCAGACGTCAGTTCGTGGGCTCTGCTGTTTCTGGAGTCTTTGGGCTTTTCTATGACTGTAACGAGACTCCAGTGAGTGTTGGGGGGACCGTGGTGTCACAGTTTAACAGCAGCGGAAACTGTTCTCTTCAGATCTGGATAGCCAGGAGTCCTACAGGATTAATAGCGTTGAAAGCATCACAGCCGGGGCGATCTGAGCCCCGTGTTACAGGACGAGGAGCAAACCCAGTCTTCTTCATCATGGCCCATTCTCCCGTCCAGGGTAACCTGCCGGGGATGCAGGTAAGAAGTGTTTTTTTAATGGGCTTGTTTTACTTTCTGCAGGGGAGAACAATAGAACATACTGTACACAGTCCCCGTCGAGGGTTAATAATGCTGTGCACCTAAACAGATTAGTGAGATGAGGCGTTTAAAGTCCTTGGTATGGCTCGGAAATTCCCACGAGACACCTCAGGATTTAAAATTCTAAAAATGCCACGCAGTCAGAGTGAGAAATGTTGCATCAGGGTTTGCCAGGTCCAGTCCTGAATATTCTTGATGTTCCGCTGATCCGGCACACCTTGACCAAATTCTTTTAGTATGTTCTGCAGAACCTGATGACATGCTGAGGAGGTAATCCAGCCATTTCTAAAACCTGTGTTGGAGCACTAGGTCATCTAAAGCATGCAGGATGCTTGTCTTTGCATACATAAACATTTGAATTCCTCTTTTACTTTAACACGATTCAGAGCAACAAACTGCCTAAAGAAGACAAATAAACCAGAATAAAGGATACGACAGTCCGTCATTTAATGTCCGCAGGGATGCAGCTGTACAGTTAAGACTTAATAGGTTTTTTAAAGAAATTGGCAAGCAAACAGCATCAGACAGGTAGAAGGGAAGTTCTTACGTTTAAGCAGGATTGCGTTACATATTAAACCCTCAGCGCTGCTGCACTTATCTTTAAATAGAGTTCAGGACAATACTAAACTTCCCTACACACAACAAGTCATCTAAACCTGGTCTTCTCAAATTCGCTCATTTAGCTCTGGTGTCCTGCAACTTTTTGCATCTCTGCTTCAACACACCTGCAAATAATGAGGTCATTATCAGGGAAACTTGACTGCATACTGAGGAGGTAATTAAGCTATTTGGTTCAGGTGTGTTGGAACAGGGCTGCACACAAACCCCCGGTTTTAAATGGACAGTGCTGAACATAAATTCCTTTCTTAATGGTTTTTGAGGAAAATGTGTATTTTCTTTCCAGCAGCTTTTGATGTCTTTTCATAACAACGAGGGTCTCTCTTTGTCTCCTGCCTTAAAGTGGATGTAATGAGCATTTCTCTGGCCAAAAGAGGTCATAAAAGGAAGTTGTTTTTTGTCAGCGCCTACTCTAGTGTTTTCCACATAACAGCCTCTGGAGAGTTAAGTCATTTTAGTTCACTTCCTGTGGTACGCAAGTTGTTTTCTCCCCATTTCACTCTATGATATGAATGCCACAGAGAAATGCCTTATTGAACACAGGAAAATTAATTTCCTGGTTCGGTTTTTGTTGAATGTCATGTTTGAAGTCCATGATGACTGTTTTATAGGTTAAGTTGCAGCCTCTAGCTGATTCTTTATACTGTCATCAACATACTAAAGGTCTATCTAGAGATTAAATTGAGTAAAGTCATAAATCTAGCAGTTGGTTTTAATTTTATTACTTTTATTTTGAACCTGCACGTTATCCAGTCATTACTCTTCCCCTTTTTGCCTCTCCTGTGTCTTTCTCTCTCTTTACAAAAACCAAGTGTTGAAATGAGTGAAAGAATGCCACCCTGCCAGTGTTTCTGACTTATTCCCAACCTTTCTTTCATTCTGTTTATTATGATTTTCATTTAAATCCACCTTCCCTCTCCCTTCCCCTCGCTTCTTCCCCTCAACAACCAGAATGTCCGAGTGGACCCCGAGGAGCTGTTTACCAAGTTGGAGCGCATCGGAAAGGGTTCCTTTGGCGAGGTATTCAAAGGCATCGACAATCGCACGCAGAAGGTGGTGGCCATCAAGATCATAGACTTGGAGGAAGCAGAAGATGAGATTGAAGACATCCAACAGGAGATCACTGTGCTGAGCCAATGCGACAGTCCGTTTGTCACCAAGTATTATGGCTCTTACCTGAAGGTAGCCACCTAATTACAAATTCACAATATCCTCCAGTAACTGTTCACATTTTGCTACATCGGAGCTACGTACTTTAATGTAGTTTAACTGAATTATATGTGCTAGCTAAACACAAAATGGTGTGTAGTAGCGAAAGGAAAGAGTATGTGGGCTGTGGTATATTAAAGTTTATGATTGTAATCATTACAAAATGTTTTAAAACAGGTAAACAAGTTTTCCGAAGCACTGGACATATAGCGCACCTTTGTTTTAGCTGACATAACAACATCTTAATTAAGCTGATGGAATGAGATTTTCTTCCCTAACCCACTTCTTCCTTGTGAATTATCCCAAATTAAAAAAAGGATTAGCCTCAGATGATTTGAAACACCCACCTGACCACCAGACTCTTAATAGGGTCATCAGAACTTATTCAAGTTTTCACTGGCTTGTTGGAAGTTTTGCGTTAAGCATCTGAATTTGGGAGCCTGTGCGTTTTCTTCTCGCATGCAGTAAACGCTTCTGTCCTTCTTCTGTTCCCATCAATGCAGGACACAAAGCTATGGATCATCATGGAGTATTTGGGTGGGGGCTCTGCCCTAGATTTGGTAAGTGATTTTTCTGTTCACATAAAACGTCTGCTTTGCTATGCCTTGTTTCTTTTTCCTGAACTTCAACAAAACTCAAATGGCAGATTAGTGATAGAGTCAAAAGCTATTTCCAGAGATTTGTGCTTCAAAGGCATTATTTGTTAGAAAAAGGGCTGCATGTTGGAAAAAAACATTAAAAAGGATCTAAAGTACTGCTGCCGCTTTAAGTTCCTATATAACTTTTTATGCCCACTACTATTAATACATTCCACCAAATCCAAGCTAGCTTAGAATTTTATCTACACGAATTTCCACCGTTTAGTAAAATGAGTACTGTTCCTGATGGCCATGTGTCTCTGTTTTCTTGTCACAGATGGAGCCCGGCGCATTAGATGAGACTCAGATTGCCACAATCCTCAGAGAGATCCTAAAGGGCCTGGAGTACTTGCACTCAGAGAAGAAGATCCACAGAGATATTAAAGGTAGCTGACTAAATGGCTTCAGAGAGTGCACACACGCGAATATCATGTTGCGCATTAATGTTATAGACATCCACTTAAACCTTCACTCATTATACAGTAAACGTTTCACCTGAGAATCGTGTTTGATGCCAAATCGATGTAGACGGACAGCTTTGTAAAGACGAAGAGTTTTTCCACCGTTGAAGCTCTCCGTTTGTCCACAGCTGCCAATGTGCTGCTGTCCGAGCAAGGAGAGGTGAAGCTGGCCGACTTCGGAGTGGCGGGCCAGCTCACAGACACGCAGATCAAACGGAACACCTTTGTCGGGACGCCGTTCTGGATGGCCCCGGAGGTGATCAAACAGTCCGCGTATGACTCTAAGGTGAGTTCAAACAGAGCAAACTTCTGACACCTGGAAAGAATTACTCACTACTTTGAGTTGGTTTTTGGGCTGCAGCTAACAATTATTTTAGTAATCAATTATTCTATTGGTTAAAAGGATTTAAAACATTTTTTTACTTTCCGCAGATTTTTCAACTAACTACTGAACTTTTAGTTCAGGGTAGCGTATTTACAAATGTTTTTTTTTTTTGTTAATCTTAGTACAGTTTTGACCGGGGTTTGCATTCTTGTGCAAGACACTGTATCGTTTCTGTTATTTCTATGTCTCCTGCGCTCTCCAGGCCGACATCTGGTCACTTGGAATCACAGCTATCGAGTTGGCGAAAGGCGAGCCGCCACACTCAGACCTCCATCCCATGAAGGTGTTATTCCTCATTCCAAAGAACAACCCACCCACACTCGAAGGCAACTACTGCAAACCTCTCAAGGAGTTTGTCGAGGCCTGCCTCAACAAAGAGCCCAGTTTTGTACGTCGTCTAGTGTAATTCTGCATGTTTTGGCTCATTTGTCCAGACTGCATTGCCTCACTCTCTTTCTTTCTTGCTCTTTCTGCAGAGGCCGACTGCCAAAGAACTGCTGAAGCATAAATTGATCGTCCGCCATGCGAAGAAGACATCATACTTGACAGAGCTGGTGGACAAGTACAAGAGGTGGAAGGCTGAGCAGTCCAGAACTACAGAGTCCAGTTCAGATGAGTCAGACTCGTAAGTGTGTTGCCATTTCAGCAGGAAATAAAGTTCATCCTTTGAGAGCTGATCAGCTGATAAATCTTTTGAAATGTTGGTCCAATCAGAGAACAGGACGGCCAGGCGTCAGGCGGGAATGACTTTGGCAGTGACGACTGGATTTTCACCATCCGAGAAAAGGACCCCAAGAAACTACAGAACGGAGAGGGTCAGTCAGGGGGGACGGACCAGGTCAGCCAGTGCCTTTGTAAAAAGTTGTTTTTATAATGCTCACAATATATAGCGTCACTGGTTTTTAATTTCTGTATTTCTTTCCTCAGACAAAAGACATTCCACGGAGGCCTTATTCACAGAGCCTGACCACGGTCATTTCTCCTGCATTAGCTGAGGTGAGGATCCTACTCTCAATACTTTCTGCAAGTCAATTATTTAATTTAATGATGAGCCACAGCATGAAAACAAGAGTTTAAGAAGTTGTGAACAATGACATTGATTTTCTGTGTTGTTTCAGTTATTGTCTGCCTGTAGTTCTGGCAATGACAGTGGAGGAAGTGAACGGAGCCGTTCAGTCCATCTTCCGAATATTAAAATAACATTCGCAGTCATCTAGTTTTTTTTTTTTTTTTTTTCAAAACTTTATTTATGCTTTATCGTGAGGTACAATGCAAAGGCAGTACAATAGTTACACAGTTAACAATGTACCTTTAAGCTACCAACCTAATAGGGCTAGAACAAACCCAAACATACCCAAATATATACAGACATGAAATACATTAAGTGGATCAGGTCAGAGTAAATGGAAACAGATACATTAATAATAAAAAAAATAACTAAAAAACAATCAAACAAACAAACAAACAAAAAACAAACAAACAAACAAAAAAAAAACACTGGTGCCAGGGGATACTACAGTCAGTATATCAGTCAAACTAGAGAAGAAAAACAGAAGAAAAAGAGACATAGGTAAAAAAGATAAACATCAGCTACATACGTACCACCTCATCATTCAGGGACATTAGGGAAATAAATCTTTGTAAGGGTTCTTAACAGGGGGCTCCACAAATCCAAAAATCTCGTAGAAGAGCCTCTTAAAGTAAACCGAATTTTCTCAAGTTTAATAAAATACAACGTATCTCGAAGCCAGTGGACATATGATGGAGGTTGAGGCGACTTCCATTTCATTATAATCACTCTTCTTGCCAAAAAGGTCAGAAATGCTAAAGAAGATTTCTGAAAGGAGGACAGGCTGGACTGTGGAGGTGCAACTCCAAACAAAGCAGTCAATGGGTCAAGCTGCAATTTCTTTTCAAAAATGTCTGACAGGATAGCAAAAACTTTGGACCAATAGTTAGAAAGTTGAGGACACAACCAAATAGTGTGGATCAGATTGGCTGGAGAATGCTGGCATCTATCACAGGCAGCAGAAACATTGGTGTAAAACTTGGCTAGCCGTGCTTTAGTATAATAGGTGCGATATACAAGTTTGCATTGAATGAGATTATGTCTGGCACAAATAGATGATTTATGCACTAACGACAAAATTTGTGTCCAGAGATCCTCTGAAATGGCCTGTCCGAGGTCTTCCTCCAATGTGATTTAAAGGAGTTCAGAGATTGAGGGCGTAGAAGCGTAATTTGATTATAAATAAAAGATATGGCCCCTTTCAATTTGGCAGTAGGTTTTAGAAAACTATCTAACGGTGAATCCCCGGGAAGGTTGGGAAAATTGAATAGGTAGAGCGGAGAAAGCTGCGTACTTGCAAGTATTTAAAAATTGGTGGCGTGGGATATCAAACTTCTCAGAGATTTGTTGAAATGAGGCAAAAGTATTATCAATATACATATCCTGAAAAGTTGTAATTCCTATTCTCTGCCATGAAAGGAAGATACAATCTGTGAGAGATGGTGGAAAGGCATGATTTGAGGCTATAGGGGCATGGACAGAAAGAGGACTGTAGGCCAAAATGTCTCTAAATTGCATCCACAGCCTTAAGGAAGCTTCAACTATTACATTAGAAGTATAAGGTTTAGTTGAGGACTGTAATGGTGAATATAGTAAGGCAGCCAAGGACACAGGTTTCACAGAGTTGGCCTCCATACCAAGCCAAGCTGGAGAGGAACAGCTGTCTGTCTGGAGCCAATATCTAAAAAGTCTAATATTTGAAGCCCAATAATAATATCTAAAATTTGGCAGGGCCAACCCCCCGAGCCTTTTAGGTCTTTGTAAGAATTGAGTACTTATGCGAGGGGCCTTCCATTCCAGAGAAATTTGGTAATCATACTATCAAATTTGCTGAAAAAGGACCGTAAAAGAAAAATAGGTATGCACTGAAAGAGGTAAGAAAACCGTGGAAGAATGTTCATTTTGATCAAGTTAACCCGAGCGACCAATGAGAGGCCTAGCAACGACCAACGATCAAAATCTTCCTTAACATGCAATAATAAAGAAGAGAAGTTGGCTTTAAAGAGATCTTTGTATTCATATGTAATCTGGATTCCTAAATAGGTAAAGCTTTGGTCAATGACCTTAAAGGGTAAAGTACGTAGTGGGTAACTCTTAGCTAAAGCATTTATTGGGAATAATTCACTTTTGCTGAGGTTTAATTTATAGCCTGACAGTTGCCCAAATTTGCCAAGTGTGGCAAGCACAGCAGGAATAGAAGTATTCAAATTAGAGATGTACAAAAGAAGATCGTCCGCATATAAAGAGACCTTGGTTTCTATACCATACCTCTCAATACCTTTAATATGTGTATTACATCTAAGCGCAATTGCAAGGGGTTCAATTGCCAAAGTAAATAGTAAAGGGCTCAGAGGGCAGCCTTGGCGCGTGGAGCGGCTGAGCCGAAAGTAGCCAGATTGAGTATTATTTGTCCTAATGGATGCATATGGGACAGCATAGAGTAGCTTAATCCAAGACAGAAAGTTCTCCCCAAGCCAAATTTCTTAATAGAGTAAAATAAATATGGCCACTCACTCTGTCAAAGGCCTTTTCAGCATCTAAAGATATCACAACTTCTTGAGTGCTGATAGAGGGTGGGTTGTAAATTACATTAAAGAGCCGTCTTACGTTGGAAAAGGAATTCCTATCCTGTACAAAGCCGGTCTGATCCATCCCAACCACAGAGGGAAGTATCGCTTCTAGTCTTAATGCTATTGTTTTTGCCAGAATTTTAAAGTCAACATTAAGTAAACTTATTGGACGATAAGAAGAACATTGTAGAGGATCTTTGCCCTTTTTAGCAATCAGAGTAATAACCGCCTGATTAAGGGTCTGAGGTAGATGCCCAGAGGATACGATTCATTGTACACTTCTGAAAGTAGTGGAGAAAGCTTGTCCCAAAATATTTTGTAAAACTCACAAGGGTACCCATCGGGGCCTGGACATTTACCCCCCTGCAGGGCCTTAACAGCCTTAGTGAGTTCAGAGATGACAATAGGCCTCTCAAGATTATCAGCTACATCCTGATCAATGGTAGGAATTTCCAAGTTGTTAAAAAAGTTGTCAAAATCGGTTACAGAAGGAGAACATTCTGAGGAGTATAATGACCTATAAAAATCCTTGAAGGTCAGATTAATTTCCATTGGGTTAGTCGTGACGCCCTGGGTAGTTTGAATCTGAGAGATGTGGCGAGAGGCTGACACTCGTCGAGTTTGGTGAGCCAGGAGTTTATCAGCCTTATCTCCGTGTTCGTAAAACTGGGCACCAGATCGAAGTAGCAGCTCAGTAGTGTGTTGTGTCATGAGCACATCAAGCTGAGCTTGCAACATAAGGCGATCCTTGTACAAAGCGGGAGAAGGTGATACTGCATATAAGTTATCAATTTGAGAAATGTGACGTGTCAGAGTAGTAATCCTCTCTCTGCGCAACTTGTTTTCATACTTTACATAGGAGATAATTTCCCCTCTGATGAAGGCTTTAAGCGTTTCCCAGAGTAGTGAAGCCGACACTTCAGGACCTCTATTATTTTCCACGAAAAAAACCTATTTGTCGCGCTACAAAGGATACAAACTTCTCATTTGATAACAAACGGGTGTTTAACTTCCACGGTGGCCGTTCAATGGGGTGAGAATCAAATCTAATATTTATAGAAACTGGGGCATGATCTGACAGAACAATAGCATCATACTTGCACCCAGTGAGAGAGGACAGCAATCTATTATCAATCAAGAAAAAATCAATACGTGTGAAGGTATGGTGGACTGGGGAAAAAAACGAGTAAAACCCTCTGGGAAGAGTGGAGAAAGCGCCAAGCATCATAAACATTAAATTCGGACATAAGGGATCATTTTGGATGAGCGCATGGACTGTTTGGGGGACGCGATGCTGAGGAGGAAGCATTAAAATCACCCAATATCACTCCCAATATAAGTAAGTGGACAGGTCTGGAAGTGACTGAAAAACATGTTTAAAAAAGTACTCATTGTCATAGTTGGGGCATATATATTGGCCAATGCCACTGGGATATTGCAAATGGTGCCAGTGATAATAACGTATCTACCAGAAGAATCAGATATGGTTTGAGAGTGTACAAAAGGGACAGATTTACTGATAAGAATAGCTACTCCTCTGGATTTATTGTTAAAGGAGGAATGATAAATTTGACTAATCCAGCTGCGCCTCAGCTTCAAGTGGTCCACGTTCTTAAGATGTGTCTCCTGAAGGAAAGCTATTTGTGCCCCCAGTCGTTGCATATGATGTAGTACCTTACTACGCTTTACAGGATTGTTGAGCCCCCTGCAGTTAAAACTGGTGAAGCGGATCTCACGTCCTGCCGCTGTAGCTGGTGTCAAGTGAGGATCAGCCATAGGTCAGAGTGAAACAAAAAAAGTAAGCAAAGATCACCCTGGTCACCTGAAAAAAAAGAGAACGTACACAAACAAAAAGAACAAAGTAACATACACACACCCAAAACCTGAAACCCTCCATAACCCCCCCCCATTCGCCGAAGCCTCCCCCCAAACGGGATGCGCGAAACCCCACAGAAAAAATACAACAAACATCTAGCCTACTAGAGACTAAAAGAGGAAAGTAGTCTTAACTGCTGACATACTCTCCTGGGAATGTGATGTAAATATAATATGTAAAGAATGCACCATTTATAGAACAGCTGGTTTAGAAAAACATGAAATATGTTATAAAACATGAAGAACTAATGCGCAATCGGACACCCAAAGCCCCATTGGCTTGTGGTAGTAAGAACCAAAAGAGAAAATAGAATACAATAAAATAAAAAATAAATTTCCAAATTAGGAATTACATCCACAGTGTATTCACGGAGGTCTTAAAAGGAACTGTTGAGATCAATACTGTATTAACTAGTAATTGTATTGTACAGAATATTACATTTCTCAAACAAAATGTTAACCCATCACTGGGCAGCAGAACCTCCCGAATTAAACTGTTGTCGGATCAACCGTATTTTTAATGTTTTTCTCAACAAAGTCTGCAGCAAGTGCTGGGTCCTCGAACTTGTGAGTTTGCCCATCGGGAAGAGAGATCCGTAGTACTGCGGGGAAAAGAAGCCCGAACTTGACTCCAGGGCAAGAGTGTAGTTCCTTCTTCACCTTTGCAAATGATGCGCGTTTTTTAGCAACCGAGTTGGAATAATCGGGGAAAATGAACACACGCTTTCCTCCATGGAATAAAGGAGACGACTCACGGGCCTTTCGTAGAATCTCATTCCGTTCTTGAAACAAGGCGACACGGACAACGAACGGGTGCGGTGGCTCCCCCTCCGCTGGCTTGGCCCGCAAAGTGCGATGAGCCCGGTCAAGGCCAGGCTTAGCATCAAGGCCGAGCAGATCCTGAAGTAACGTTGACACAAACTTCGTTGGCTGTTGTCCTTCGGATCCCTCTGGTACACCCACAAGACGGATATTATTTAATCTGGAGCGGCCCTCCAAGTCTTCACATTTCTTGGACAGCGTGTCCACCAATATATTCAAAGAATTAACCGAGGCCTCTAGGGTGGTTAGCCTCCCGTCCTGATCGTTAGCAGCCCGCTCCAAGTCATGTATAGCAGACCCAAACGAGGCAATTTTCGCTTCTAGCGGTGTCACGGCGGCTGAGATCTCCCTCTTAACGACACTCGAAACAATGTTCTCAAACCTGCTGATGAGATCAGTGCGTGAGTCGTTCAGCATCTCCTGCATCTTGGTTAGCAGAATGCTATTAGCATCTGGTCCAGCAGGAGCCTCGGGGTCAGCCTTGCGAGTAGTCTTGTCGGTTTTTCCCATGTTTAGCTGCGATATTTACAGGCTGCACTTCAAATATATATCTTCATCCACTATTAATCCAGTTTGTTCAGGAAAAAATGTGTAAGGAGGTGCAAAAATGTACATTAAATCACATATCCCATCAGAGCACCCGCGAAACACGTCCTACATAGTCGGTGTTTTCTTGACTCAGTCATCTAGTTTGACTCAGTACTTTTTTCTTTGAGGAGTCGCATCAAGATGCACTTGTCAAAACAGTGGATGCTTGTTTACTGGCAACTTCTGGTGAGATTCATAGCATTGAACTGGTGTATTACATACAAACGTTAGCGTTTGGGTAACATTTTAAACCTCAACGGAGTTCACGCCTTCAGGAAGCAATCGTTTCTCAACCCCCGAGTCCAGACCCTCTGGATGAAGCAAAGCGTAGAACAATGTCCGTGTGGAAAATATAACATTTCAATGTGACTTTTATGATTCAACGGGCAGGAAGGACTGTTAGCCCTTGAGCATTTTCATGATATTAAACATGTGAAAATGCAGTTATGGATACAAAGCATTTGAACTAGTTGGGTCACGCTTCCTCTCTGACCTCCGCCTCAGCTAAAGGCGCGGCAGGAGCAGGTGAACGGGAATCCCCTGGTCCTGGACGAGCTGAGAGCGGCCATCCTGCTGGCTGAGGAGGCCTACCCCGGCATCTCCGATTCCCTCGTGGCTCACATGGTGCAAAGGCTCCAGAGGTAACCACTCTACTCGTGTTCTTACAGAATGCAGCTGAATATCTGCGCCATCGTTGACTATTTGTTTTACTTTTACAGCTTCTCTACAAGCAGAAGAGCTTCCTCCTCCCCTTAAGAGATCGGCTCTCTACCCCCAAACCTGCTCTCCCAGGTCCCCACATCCCATCAACACCCTAGCCAGGTCAGAGGGTTAAACGTTGAGGGTCAAGTCATTCAATACCAGCTGGCTGCATTTGACCTCCATGTGAGGGGCGCTAACATAGCCTGTTATTTAAAAAAAAAAAAAAAGAAGAAGAAAAAAAAAAAAAGACTGAACTCCAAAGTAGAGAACAGAGACACTTTGCAGAGCTTCTTTTATCCATTAACGAAAGAAGATGTTTGGAAGCTACGATGGTGCAGCGGGCAGGCGGAGGAGGGAGAGAAAGAAAAAAAAGACTCAAAAGTGAGAGCGACCAGCTGCAAAAAAAAACAGCAATAGCCAAGTCTGTCCCTGGGCTTTTGCACATGTGACACTCCTCATGCCTCGCACAGAGTCTCTGCATGGATTTTGCTGGATGAGGAGCTGAAAGTCTCCTGTCAGTCCCTCCCCGTTCTCTAAATGCAGGCGTCATATCCCCAGAACCTACGAGAGCATGCTCGATGAACCTGCAGGGATGTTATCCAAGTTTAAAAGCTGTGTGTGTGTGTGCGCGCGTGTGTGTGTGTGTTCGGTTTTGTTTGTGAAACTCCCTGTTTAGGCAAATTGCAGCATTCTTAAAGAAACCTCAGGTAAAGTGCTTTAAGTGGACTTTGTCCTCCGAGGCAGGAGGGGGCGCCATGCTGTACATGATTACAAGTCATCATTGCGGAAAATAAATCACTGTGTACAAAATGGTTGACGTGCATTTTGTAGATACTGATTAAAGACAACGTAGGTATTTAAAACATCTCAAAAGGTTGCTCCGACAGAAAATGCCTTGCCTTTTTCAGCGTTCTAGCATTCGTCGCAGATTTAGTTGGTTTCGTTTTACACATATGTGATGATTGTCTTTTCTTTTTTTTTTTTTTTCTTTTCAAGTGACTGAGTTTCAGTGTTTCATTTCAACATCCTACCGATTCATTAAGTTAACTTTGTGTAGAAGAAGCAGAAAAAACCCTTACCTGTATTCAAGTTTAGGGAACTGAAAGACTTTAGGACTAGAATAAAACGTAGTGGACCGTTACAAGGGAGGAACCACATTAAACTGATATCTGTTGAAGTATTTTTTTTTTCTTTGGTTTAGCAGTATTGAGAAAGTAAAGTGGAAATGAGTAAAAACTGGCAAAGAAATTAGGCAAGGGCCGGCATTGGATTGTTATGGATTGAACCGAAGTGGCGCAAAATTTTAGCGGTTTCGAAACCAGAACTTCCGGTACCGGCCCATGTCTGACCACAATCGCTCAACCGTATCATTGATTCTGGCCAAGCTCCACAGTTCAACGCCATCCTAGACCATCTTCACCTTTTGCTATAGAAGTGCCATGTCCGCTCTGACGCTTTCACTAGTAGTATGATTTGCACCTTTGTTTTTTGTTTTTGTTTGTTTTTTCTAATTTTCAGATCCGTTTTGTGCACTTTGAAAGTGTTGAGTATTTAAAGACTCCTGTAAGAGGAAGAAGAAGATAAAAAACAGCAAACAAAACCAGTTGCTAATAGCCATGTTTTACTATATATATGTTTACTTAAGAGTTCCAGAATTTACTACTGTGCTATTGCAGCAATAATGTTGAGGAGTCGCATCAAGATGCACTTGTCAAAACAGGGATTGAGAAAAATTAAGAAATATCCAATATTTTTATAACAGCAAAGAGTTAAGTATGGAAATATGGATTGATTTATGGTATGGCATCTGCCTCTGGCAAAAAAATAAAAATATCTATACCTTTCAGAAAAAAAAAACATATGCTACAGAAATAACAAAATGTGTACATTTGATTTCCTTTATTATAGCTGATGATTTATAGTACTGTATATAATCTTTGCTTGTGTCATTTGAAAATTCCCAACTTAAATGTAAGCTTTTAAAGTGACATGACAAATAAAGATCTAATGCTAACTGAGAACTTTGTTTGCTCTCTTTGCTATGCGTGTCATGCCAATTTTGAAAAAAACAAACAAAAATACTTTGTGCTATGATGAGGGTATTTTGCAGATGAATCAAGATTAGTGTATTTCACAAATCTGCAATGGAAACGTGGCAATTGCAAAACTTTTTAATGTCACTGGAATATTGACAAAGTTTTGTGCAAACCTGTAATGGAAACGCAGATAGAGACACAGTTTCATTCAGGATTGTATTGTATTTGGCTTCCTATATTTGCATTAATTCTAACCAACTTTACTCTCCCTGTTTAAAAGCATCACTGCAGCGTGAAGATACCATATTTGGTCTGCCAAGGGTGATGTGTATACAGTGCTTGTTTTCCTTCGTGTCCAGTAAGTGCAGTTTTGTCTTACCTGCCTGGAGCAGCACTTCCCATCCCAGCGGGAGACGATGTTGGATGAAAGTGAAGGAACAACTCAAAATACTGCACCAAGGAGAAACAGAATATAAAATGAACACCTACATTTTGTAGCCTTGTATACAGTTAAGTGTACAAATGCTATTTCCACAGCAACTGTGAGGACTTTTACATAATTAACAGATTTTTAGAGCTGGACCCCTTCAAGGTAATTTAAAGGCCACAATCTCATATCCATCACACTTTCGAAACGCTTCCCACAGCACTTCTGAAAGCCCATTTTATTCTGCATGTTTCCCCAAATAATATTTACAGGTATTACACCCCTATGTTTATCATGTGAATTTTGTTTCAGGTTCACAGTTCTGTCTTCCTTCTACTCCACCAAATCAGATTAAATTATTCCAAGCAGAAACAAAGTGTGGTATTAACTAAGCCCATGGAATAATATCTATTCATTTAAACTAGAAGTTTAAATACATATTTAAACTTAAATTGAAAATATTTGATAATATGCCATTACACGGAAGTTTTTGACATGACTTCTGTGAGAAACATTTATGTAACAATTGACGTTATTTTGCATTTAAAACTTTGAACAGAAAACAATGAGTGTAAAATCGGACAAATATATTTTTATCTTGCCTACAAGCCTGGTCACGAAATGGGCAATTAAATATGGCATTTTGAGGGACTCTAAAAACAAATATACTGCATATAATACAGTATTCCGTGCAAAATATGAATATTTGACGGTTATTCTTCTCGTTTCTTTTAGCCACACCCACAACAGCTCTGTGCCCGAAGCTAATCACTGAGCTAACGGCGCACAGTTATTCCGTGTGTTTACAAACGTCCGCCATGTTTGTGTTTTGCTCTTACCGTCATATTTCGTCCTCTTCGTCACTTCCTTAATATAAACATAAATAAATGAATAAATATAACAAATAAAAAAAAGAAAACAAACGGTTTCAATGTATGAAGACGTGGTTTCTTCAAATGTCCCGGTTCGGCGTAGATAAATGGTTCAGCTACAGCTCACCCCGCGCGAGCTCGGTTTGAGCAGAGGCCGGTCTCCTGAGAACCAATCACATTCCAGGAAACCCCAGGCGCGTCAAGAGTGGAAAATTAAGGGCGCAATTCCCCATGTCCCTTTCGGGGCTCCGTAGTGATCTGTCAAATTTTACGTCTCGACATAAAATACTTGTCATCATAACAAAAAAAGTTTATTGTTTTAACGGGATATTGATCCAGAATTAATTTCTTAGCTCTGCCAGGTAAACACACTTAGGTGTGGACAGTCGAATTGGATTGCTTTCTAGCAAAAGCTTCACCTTTTAGAGCATGGATCTACAATAAACAATCAGGAGTTGCCATATTTGATCCAGCACTGAATTTTTAGACTTCTGTAAATCTTTAACCCTTCAGGATTCCTCTGTTGCTTACTGTTGAGTTTTGTTGGTGTATGGCATCATTGACCATGTTGTAGGCACATTATATATATATATTATTTTTTATTACAGAGTCTTTATAGCATATTTCTTGCAGACTCTGTTGATCACAATAGAGTATTTCTAGCCAACTACGAAGCTTTGGGTGTTCACCATCACCAAGAGTCAGAATAGTTTTTACAAGACATATAATACAGTTTGCAAATAAATACAAATATTGGAATGTTTTTGGGGTAATTCCACAAAAGACTGGTCAGAAATTACAGTCAAAGCAAGCATTACCTTCAAAATAGCATATTCTCTTTAGATTTTAAGCTGGGATCCAGGAACTGGTCCTAATGGAATCCGACATTAGAACTGTCCATCCACTGTTTTCAACCAGCTTCAGCTCCCCCATCCCATTCTGGTCATACATTCACGATCTTTTTGTCTCTGTGATAAACATCACAGAGACTCTTAGACATGACCAACACAACCCAGAAGGTTTCGTATACGTAAAGGCCAGAACCCGGACGAGGTCTTGATTTAGAAGTTGGTCTGTAAAATTTCGCCCTTCTCGAAGCTGGAATTAGAACTCTTCCTCTTTTTCTCGTTGTGGTCCTCAACCATGTCCTTCTTGGTCATTTCTAAGTTCTTCTTCTTCTCATCTTCAGGCTCCATGTACGCAAAGTCGGCCTCTATCTTCACCGGATCGATGTATGTGTAGAAGTAGGCCATGATGGCAAAGATTATGCACACCAACACCAGCAAGGCAGCGAACAGAATGTATTCAGCCCACTGGTAAAGAAAGACACACGAGAGTTTATTGACATTTCAGAAAATATATGAATGTGTATGAATTTGTTTTCCACTCATTAGTTGAGAAACTGACTTTGGTTAAGCAAGTCTGAACCTCCAACCATATTGTCATTAGAGATGTATTCTTATTGAAGTGAAATCAGTTAAATTAAAGTTAAGTGTCTTTAATTTTTTTAAGACCCGCTGTGAAACAGTGTCCTGATTTAGTTTATGTGAAAACAGGTCCAGTAGATCAGAGAACAACCTACTAAACCTGGCAAGACCTGGGATTTTATATCCTACAACAAAACTTGCACGTTTTTAACATAAAAAAAAAAACAAAGTGAAAATAATCGTATTGTTAATGTTATGTTTCTCTAGAAACCTTCAGCTGAAAAGTGAGTTTATCCAATTTCATTTACAGCCTTCAAACAGATTCAATTGAGTAAGAAGAACAGGGAACCTTCCGCTCACCTGCTCTGGAAGTGTGGCAGCCTCTGCAACAATCAACACAATGATGTTTCCTACTGCAACCGTTAACAGCCAACCAGCCTGCAGCACTGACTTCATGTTGGACGGAGCCTGAACAGCAGAAATGTGTGTATTAAGGCCTTATTCTGGGAAATTCCCAGTTTGTTTCCCCCTCGTTTTCCTAAAAAATGAGCATTTGTTACCTGCGAATATGAGAACTCCAATCCTGTGACGGAGAACACCACCTCTCCTGATGTCATGAGGAAGTACTGAGGAATCTGCAAGGCCATGTGAATGGAATTGGCCTTGATATCCTCGACCGCCTTGATGTGCTGTCCACACTGCGAAGCAAATAGAAACGAGTTCAATCAAAAACAGCATGTCGCAGCTATTAAATTGCACACTTTGGATTTCAAAGTTACATTTTCTTTAAGTGTGAAGGTTGGTGGGATGATGAAAGTGTAAGAACTGCCAAAGCCAAATTCTCGACTGAAGTTGCATCTATTCCCAGCAGCACTTCTGATCAAGAACTCAGCCCTGTTGCAACAAAATCACCAGTTAGAGGAAATAACTTTCTTTAGAGGGATTGGACGTAGCGGTCAAATGAATCAAACTTACTTTCCGTGTGGTACATTAACATATATGGACATGTTCTTGCTGACGATGTTCCCAAAACCTTTCTCACCAGCTGTTATGTTCAAAGTGATGCCAAAGCCATTGAAAAATCTGAAAGGTAAAAAAAACCAAAACAGCACAATTAATACAGCACGAGTCCCACAAGATGTTGATTTCATGAACAACTATATATGAATTTGGAGTTAGGGTTGATGATGGCTTTTTGATTTTCAGAAAAAAATCAAACGTTATTATCATGTTAATGAGAAAACAGACGCATGGCCGACTTTTATTGCCACACTACAACAAATCAAACTCGACCTGACGGCATTCGCTCCCTCCTCCGGCTTTGCAACAACGTCGTCAAACTGTAACCAGAAAACATTTCTGAGAACAAAATCCAGATGGCTGTTTCTGGGAAATGTTCAAAATAAGAATACATGGGATTTGACTTTGATTTGACTTTTATGCTGACCTTTATATTCCTCACTCTGCCTGCTTCTTCTACGATGACAAGAGTGTTACGAGTGCCATCTGGTAAGCTGATTAAATCAGGGGAACCAGAATTTATTGTCAGGTCAAATGGCGTATTATATGTATAATAATCGTCGCTGGCCTGTGAGAGAAAACAGATTTGCACGTCATCTTTCAAAACTATGGAGTTTATCAAACTGTGGTAACCAAAATGTTTCTATTTTTCCTCTCTGTATAGTCCTACCTCAAAAGCAGGCAATTGGAAAGCATACTTTCCAGCAGTGACATTTATGGGTCGGTCAACCATGTTGATGAACTTAGCTTGCTCTTCAGTGCTTGATGGGAAATTCGGGAGGGTTGCCTGGAAAAGGGAGAAATCATCCTTCGTGAGCTTCGTTTTGTTAAATATTTTGCAATTCATTTTCACTTACATCAATCTGTAGCTGAACCATGGCAGCGGCCACAAACGCAAGTGCTGCGAGGAACATCCCCACAGTAATCCTCCTCAAAGGACTGGAAAACAGAATCCAACACATCCTTTCAGCCACTGAAACCAGGGCTCCAGATCTTAGAAGTGGAAAAGATAATATAAAGGACTCCTCACGTGAAGTTGAGTTTGCATTTAGAAATGAGCGGGTAGATTATGAAGTCCATGATGGGGACCATGATCAGAATCAGGATGGGGTTGACAGTCTGGTGGGGAGGGAGGGAGGAAGGGTCATAAAACGGCTGCAGTTTGACTCAATCAGTTCACGTCAGCAGTGGGGCGATGTTAGAGACTTACCTGCATTTGGTCAGGCTGGATTACCATCA